TGAAACGATGACTGAGGTGAGGCCTGGTGAATTTCTGGAGTTAAAACACCAACATGCTGAAGCATGTATAAGGAGCACTGAATGAATGATCCCGCCAAACTAAAGTAACTGCAAAAACCCCTTCTGTTTGTTCGCTCTTAAAAATAAAGGTTCCAAAAGTGAGTTTTCGTAGCAATTCAATTTTAGGTTCCTCAAACAAAATTTATTTGAAAAGAGCCTTTTTTTCTTATTAGTGTGGAAAATATGTAATGATATGTGACCCTGGACCACAAAACCAGTCATAAGGGTCAATTTTTTTAAATTGAGATTTATAAATAGTCTGAAAGTGGAATAAATACGCTGTCCATTGATGTATGGTTTGTTAGGATAGGACAATATTTGGCCGAGATACAACTATTTGAAAATCTGGAATCTGAGGGTGCAAAAAAATCTAAATACTGAGAAAATCGCCTGACGTAGACATGTGGGGGCGTGTTTGAATGAGGCGTTTTAGCCCGGTCTGGATCAGCCTTCTCTTTTAGATAGAATCAATCCTTTTGTGGGAGACTTTGAGATTTGTAACTCTGCAGATCTTATACATGCACAAATAGCTACATAACACACTAAAGAAAAGGAAAAATAGAAATCGCATCATATGACCCCTTTAAAGTTGTCAGAATGAAGTCCTTAGCAATGCATATTACTAATGATAATACATTTTTGTTATATTTACAGTAGGAAATTTACAAAATATCTTCATGGAACATAATCTTTACTTAATATCCTAATGATCTTTGGCATAAAAGAAAAATGTTGACTCATACAATGATTTTTTGGCTATTGCTACAAATATACCCCAGCGACTTAAGACTGGTTTTGTGCTCCAGGGTCATATATGAATAAACTTTTTCCAGAAATTGTTGAATATTTACTCACACTCAGGCTATCCAAGGTGTAGACGAGTTTATTTCCTCATCAGAATAGATTTGGAGAAATTTAGCATTGAATAACTTGCTCACCAAAGGTCTCTGCAGTGAATGGGTGCCGTCAGAATCAGTCCAAACAGCTGATAAAAACATCACAACAATCTATTGTGTTTTCAACTTTATAAACTGTTGTTTTCGGCTAAAATATGAGACCTTTATCTGCAAAATTGCTTTCTTTAATGAAAAGGTCATCTTGTGTGAATCAGAAGAGAAATAGATGCACAGATCAAGCAGAGTTTACAAGCAAAAACAGTTCAAAACAGTTCTAAACAAAAATGTCAGTGGATTTTGATTAAAGGATAAACTGGCATTTTGGACAGAAGTGACGGTTTAAAGTAACAGAAGATGTTATTGATGGACTGGAGTAGTGTGGATTACTTCTGAATTATTGTGATGTTTTTATCAGCTGTTTGGACTCTCATTCTGACGGCACCCATTCACTGCAGAGCATCCATTGGTGAGCAAGTGATGTAACGCTAAATTTCTCCAAATCTGTTCTGAACAAGAAACAAACTCCTCGACAACTTGAATTGGCTGAGGGTCTGTCAGTAAATTTTCATCAAATTTTTGGGCAAATAATTCCTTTAAAAGTTCTTCACGGAACCACTGATGCCAATACCTTTATTTGTTAGAGCATATATCCCAATACAACATGATAAATCAACTGTGGCAACTTCTTTTCCCTCGATTAACTTCAAGTCTGGCTAAATAGCTCATTCCATACAAGTCAGCGTTCTCAATAATGCACTTGAACGTTTTCATACATGCCGCTTCAGCAATCACTTACAAATATCATTAGCACCTTCTGAAACACCTGTGATTTCAAATTCAGCTCGCTGGTTATTTTATAAGCCCTGTTAGTCGACTAGTACCACTGTTGCAGGATTCTTACAAGTCAGCGTTGCATAAAAAGCATTATGATTAATCTATACACCTTCTAAAGATGTTTCCTACAACAGTACTCCATAGCAAGGACATGAAATAAAGATAAAAAGTGACTGAATGTGGATATGTGAGAAAGAAACTAACTTTGAATTTTCACAGTGCTTATTTCTAGTTACGCTTTGGCCAATTTGGGGTGACTTTCGAGTTTACTGCCCCTTCAAGGGAAGATAAGGAATGACATGCTATACAGCATAAGGTTTATGACACTTCTTTATGTCTTCAGCCTTAGGGAAGGATAAGACAAATTTGATAAAATGATATTGAAAAGCCCTTTGCATCAATGTGAATTCAATTCAGATATTCTATATTTCATGATGAATGGGACATCATCATCATCATCATCATCATCATCATCAGCCGCAGAGTGAAACCTCTGTATCCAACAGCACGCAGCCAATATGGCTTAATCGCGACATTGTCCTAGCATGTTTGCCTTTGCATGACTTTAAATAACGTGGAAAGTTCTCATCGAACTGCAAGTCACCCTGGCAGATACGGAAGCTCTGATTTCAATCTATAATACTTAATAGTACCACTATAAACAATTCAGTAGAAAGTAGTTTTAGACCCTCAAAGAACTAAACTGTAATTGCATAGGACTCCAAACAAGCCAAACTCCTATTTTGTGTTGTAAATTCCAACGTACAGCAATGCAAAAGTTCCTTTAGATAAGATTATTATTTTAGCTAGAAACATAAGCAATAAACTTGGAAGAATTATGACAGGTAGCACTTTGCAATTCCTGTTTTGGATTTAAAAAAAGATCAGTTGGTTCTGAGCATAACTAGAATACTGATAAATAAACGTTCTTAGCTAGAATTCAAATTCTTTTCGCAAAAACAACAATTTAGTTAAATATCACTTCTATGAACTTATACACCACAACCTTTACACACTACCTTTCTACTACAAGTGTGAACTTTGACATGATAATGTATGAGGTATGCTTGAATAGTATTAGGACAGACTGATGGTAGCATTTTGACAAACTATCTAAGACGTTTTGCCAGTAAAGTACTTCCAGTCTCTGAGTTGTAGTACTCGAAACCCTGTAAAACATCATGTGAAAAATTACTTGTAGCTAATTTGGGTGTCTGAATGTAATACACATTCGATTTAAATGCAACAAATCTATAAATATTGCATTTTTTGTTCTTTTGTTTTCAGTCTTATGTTTTGGCGGAGTGCAATCTATTTACATTTTAATGACGGTAGCAGCAACATCAGCACAATTTGATTTTAAATTTTAAAACATACAGTTAGTTATTTTCCTTTTTTAAGTCTCACAGTTACACAAGACGATATTTTACTAGTCTATTCAGTAATCTAATATATTCCTTTTTCCATCGTTGCAATTTTACAAAAAATAAGATAAAATAGTTCTTTAATGTATTTTTTTGATATCTTCTATTTCTACCACACATGAACTAAATAATATGCTCTTGCTCGTGAATTGAACAGTCGGCATCAGTCGCTCACAGATGCTGCTTAAATGTAGCAAATTAGTGTCGTCTTTACAAATGTAAAAATAAATGAAAATTTCCAACATTCATGACAAACATTAGATATGATTTTAAAATACTATGCAGTTAAAATATGCTTTTGTTCACAAATTTGATTTGGTGAAAAAGGATGATAAAACTGCATCTGCTTTATAAAGTAACTGGTAATATCAGACGCGTGATATGTTTTAATGTCGTGACCCAGCACTATCCGTTTCTTGTATATGAAAATGCGAAAATTTGTTCGCTTTTTTTTTATTATCATATGGCACGGTTTATATTTAGTGATTTGGCAAGAGATGTAAATACCATGTTTACAATCAATCAGAAATTGCTGGATGAATAAATCATTTTCTTTGTAAATAAATATTTGAAATATAAATACAAATTCTTTTCTATTTACATTCCCTTAATATATATGTGATTCTACTATTAAACGAGATTATTCAGGATTATATTTTCATGGAATATTTGAGCTGTATATGGGTTTTCCATTATACAGCAGTTCTGTTTAGACTCTCTTCACAGTATGTACACGTGTGTGTGACTGAGCAATATAATGCATGTCTGCTGATGCTATTTTAAGTGAACACATATTTGTGAAAGGAACACAGCCTTCAAACCCTCTTCTAATATTATAAAACCCCTTTGAATCTACTCTTGTACAAACACACAAACGGTCCAGCCCTCTCATATTGTACAGTATATATGATTCTTAAAAGGCTGATGTAGTCAGAGGACATGCAGATGGTCAAGGGCAAAGCTGATAGTCATTGATCCAGAAGTGCTTACACCTGGCTCACATTAAACCCTGGTCAGTTCTGTCCTTGGAGTAAAAACACACCTCGGACATTTACGCGGTACACTGGAAGACTTGTTTTCAACAAAGAAAGATTCAACTCTATTTACCCTATGACAAGTAATGAAACAATGGAGAGACAGTATAGGAACAAAATATAAAGCATAAAGGGAAGGTCACACTAGATTTTGAGTTTCATTCACTTCCATACGTTCATTCACATGCAAACAAACACAGAAGAATAATAATCTGGTGGACTTTGAGCTGCCTATTCGAATATCTATAAAATGTTTGACCAATAGAGGATTTAAATATCATATTGATGTTGAGGAAACTCTCAGTTTAGGGATTTTTCATAATATTGTTCTATATACACTACCATTCAAAGGTTTGGGGTTGGAGAGATTTTTTTTTTTTTTTTAAAGAAATTAACTCTTTTATTTTGACTTTTAAATAATAAAAAACCCATATATTTCAAATAAACGCTGTTCTTTTGAACTTTCTATTCATCAAAGTATTCTGAAAAACATTATCATGGTTTCCACAAAAATATTAAGCTGCACAACTCTTTTTAACATTGATAATAATGATAGGAAATGTTTTTTCGGCATATTATTATGATTTCTGAAGGATCATGTGACACTGAAGACTGGAGTAATGATGCTGAAAATTCAGCTTTGCATCAGGAATAAATGACATTTTAAAATATATTCAAATAGAAAAGTTATTTTAAATAGTACTTATACTACAGTTTTGTCTCCATCAAATAAATGCAGCCTTGGTAAGCAAAATAAACTTTCAAAAACATGTTAAAATCTTACTAACCCCCAACTTTTGAAAGACAGCATAATACAAGTTTAGATAAAAACAAACTTTTAAAGAAAGCTGGATGAATCAGAACAAATGCCACATTTTGACATTTAAAATGGACTGTTTTGAAGTGCCCACCAAAAATACAGTGGTTTTGCATGTTTAAAATCCAGTGTGACTGTCCCTTAAAAGTATTGTTATGATATATAATATTAAATAAAGAGAAGTTGGATCAGAGTATTTGGTCAGGTGCCACTGGAGAACATGGGCTTTTGGAAATTAGTCAGAAAAGACCAACTCAATCATTTACTGATCTGTGTGTGACATAAGCTGTTGAGTTTATGAGGTGAGAACTGAGCCAATAAGAGGAAGATTGAGAGATAGATAGAGGGATAGAACTTAATCATGTGGAAGAAGTGGCATCTACTAAGCTGGTGTCTTTTTAGACTATGTAGTGCAAAGTCATCTGATATGTGCTGGGGCGTTATTGCTCATGGTGTAGGTTGGGGTCACTGGGACCTTCCGTCTATGCAGTGGGGGACGAGGGGTGAGGAATATTTGGTGGTTGAGCTGAGCCCCTCAAGAGTAGATAGTGATGACCTCACGTCCACCTCCACGCACGAGGAGGACCCTGTTGAGACCCTCAGTCAAGACCTCGAGGAACTCCATGTCTGTGTGAATGAAGTTAAGAAGCAAACTTTCACATTTACATGAGAGCAAAAGTAACTTCACTGTAAAAAAAAGTCTAAAGTCACATATATTTAGATGAAAAAAGGATACAGTTCTCTTCTCCAGTGCGGTTCTTAGGAGGTCCAGGCATGTTTAGCAGGACTAGTTTAGCTTCCTGGGACTTCTTCACAATGACCTCGTTGAGTTTCTGTGCGTGGTGCATGCGTCTGACATTGGAGTGGTTCCTGTATGAAACACCACATTGCAAAGACTTTTTTTGTGAGTGTGATGGTTTCTTTATATGACTACATATTTAGCATATGTGAAGCGCACATTTATATGTGATAATTAAGTGCGCCATCTTTTAAAATAATCAGAAGGTATCAAATGAAGTAGCATTAGTGTTATCTTAAAAGTGTACTCACAGGTTCTCCCATTCCCTGAGGCATAAGCGAAGGAAAATAACAACACAGTGAACAGAGAACAACACAAATACAGTAGCACACTACAAATTTGACTTTAACCATAAGTTCAAATGTAGGGATGCACCAAAAGTATGGACAGCAATATTTCTCAGATGATTACTGATCAAGTTAAAACTATCAGTAGGTTGGATGGTTTTTATACACATTAGACAAATATATCTTTAGCTTTTGTGTCATGTCTCACTGATTTTTTATTTTTTTGTGTCAGGTGTCAAAAAACGATTCTCACTGTTTTTTTTTCCTTAAGTGAGCTAAGCAACTGAAACGAATGCAAGTGCTACAATAAATCTAATGGTGACGAAAGTGTTTCTGTTTCAGAGTAGAATTTAACTTACATTACTGATGTTTGCTGCAAATATGCAAGAAAAAAACATTGTAAATTTTTTGTACATAATGTATGTTTTTATATATTTTTATTTTAATAAAATAAATATTAAATAATAATAAAAAATTATTTATATTATAAATATATAATTTAAATAAATTATTACATTAATAATTATTTAAAATATTATACATTTATACTAATTATGATGAAAATAATTACTACTATTTTCTTTCATTATGTCTTTCATTGTAGGCTTGTTATACATCCAACTAACTGATCGATGTACATTGATCAGTGAACAATGCTCAGTGGAAATACCTAAATGTGACTTTGAAAATAGCTCTTGCACATCTCTGTGGGGCTGTAATTAAAGTTTTGTTAAATTAAAGTGTCAATACAATGATCTGGTGTTCCATAGTCAAATGTATAATAAGCAAAATATCTTATCCTGTTGTTTTGTTGTTAAAATCAGTGTCGATGCATTTTTATGCAAAGGTTTGACTAACACCTCACCCTTAACGAACAGAATAATACGTTGATTGACTGAACATTTCTTTAAAGGTCCCATGGCATGAAAATTTCACTTTATGAGGTTTTTTAACATTAATATGAGTTCCCCTAGCCTGCCTATGGTCCCCCAGTGGCTAGAAATGGCGATAGGTGTAAACCGAGCCCTGGGTATCCTGCTTTGCCTTTGAGAAAATGAAAGCTCAGATGGCCCAATCTGGAATCTTCCCTTTATGTCGTCATACGGGGAAAGGTTACCTCCCCTTTCTCTGCTTTGCCCGCCCAGATAATTTGGCCCGCCCATGAGAAAATGAGCTACTGCCGTGCGAGGCGAGCGCAATATTTTTTTTTCCTCGAGAGACATCATGGCTTGCAAACGAGCGAAGCATGGCAGTTGCCCCGCCTCTCTCCTCCTCATTAGCATTTAAAGCTACAGACACAGAAATGGCACGTCCTAAGGAAAGCTCATTGTGGGACTGGCTCGTAGTGGCTGAAATTCTGCACCAAGGCTGAATTTCGGGAAAGAGACTTCAGATACAGTACTAGGGACCACTTAGGCCTATATAAAAGCATCCAAAAAGCAGCATGTCATGGGACCTTTAAAAACTTAAATCTAATTTCTGATTCGTTAAAAGCTTTCGTATTCACCTGATACAATACATATTCAGTACAGACCGTCATTATCTTGACTCACGGTTTCATGTTGAACATATCCTTTATGCTTTCAGGGTTGGCCACTGCTGGGTTATTGGTCTTCTCCGTATCGTCCGTCCAGGTCATCTGCACCTCCTCTCCGGGGCTCATGGCCGCTGGCGTGGGAGCGGTAGGGGAGGTGGGGCTAGTTGGGGTGGGGGTGGCATTTTTTCCCTGAATGAGCTGAACCTGTCGAGGACGGGAGAGACGGACAGACTAAGAGAAAGGTAAAAAAAGAGTGAGAGGGTAGAGAGGGATAAAAAAAATATGAAGAAGTGAGAATTGCTGCTTTTCTGGTAACCTTCTTTTCTCAGAAGGATAAAGAAAAAATAGAGAGGGGGAGAGAGACGCACTGCCAGGGTGTTAACAAGAAGAGAATGATTTTCTAATAGATAATGACTGAGAGAAGAGAGAGAAGGGCGAAAATAGAAAGTGATAAAGAGATGCTATCTTCATGGCTGACAGGTCCGTGCTATTATCTAATCGGCCAGAAGGAAGAAATGCGTGATTAGCTAAAATGGAAAACAAGCACAAAGTCACACACTTGATGGATAATAGCACAGAGAACGAAGTGAGAGACAGCAGCTACCTCCTCCTCAGATTTCTCTTCACCACTTCCTCCCACAGACTCCTCGGCGATACTCCTCTGGGGGTGCAGGTTTGAAGGGTTCTTTCGCCGTATAGAGCCACGGGACACGTCTGTGATGCTCTGAATCTGAAGAGACAACATCAGCACTGTTAGACTGATTCAAACTATCAGATTTATACTGTTAATTGCTTTATGTAACAGTTAGTTACGGTTCTCTAGCTTGATTGGCCAAGCAGCTTTTCTTCCTTATCTACATATACATTTTATAATGTTTCCTTTTGTGTTCCACTAAGAAAAGAAAGTCACAGGTTTGGATCAACATGATGACAGAAGTTTTATTTTTGGGTGTTGACTTTAACAACTTTCGTTTACTCTTGTAAAAATCAATGTATCTTTCACAGCTTATTGCTTCAAATAAATGGTGTTTAGTAGAATAAACCTTGTGTAAAAGAAGCAAGCTTAATTGTATTGAATGTGCACTTGTAGTAGAAGAAAAAGTAGTATATAAGTGTATAATTATACTTACAGAAAATATAGTAATGAAATAAAAAGCCAGTTAAGTGTACTTAAAGACAGTACATTTTCATGACTGGTTATTAACACACTTAAGTAGACTTTTAAGTGCACTTGATATAATGTCAGATCTAATAATGTAATAATCAAATGTCAAATGTAATAATGTCAAATTACTTTAAAATAGATTTTGAATCATTGTTGTATTATTCTTTTGCCATGCTTTAAAGAACAACACTTAATATATTGACTATATACTAAAGCACATGTAAAGTACTTGATTATACTTTTAACTGTAGTTTGTCATTTAATATTACATTTTAAGTTATTATATTTTAAATGTACTAAATTGCAACTTTATTACAAATATATTGAAATGCATGACTTACATTTTAAAGTAGAAATGACATTAAAGCATATTTTAGTTACCATAAATGCTTGTCAGTACATTTAGCAGTACACCATATTTCAAAGACAATTTTGAAGTAATTATGAAATGACAAAAAAGATGTAATTAGGTGCTACTTATGCAGGTCAAAAAAGCACTCGAACATTCAGCTAATTGCATTTAATATGCATTTCAAATATAATACATTTTCATTTAACTGTAAAGAACATCCAAAAACATTACAGTTCAGTTCAGTTCGCACTTAAAGGAATAGTTCACCCAAAAATGAGAATTCTGTCATCATTTACTCTCCCTCAAGTTGTGGAACATGTGAAGTTGAATAATGTGGGTAACCATTTTTATTCTCCTCGAACCTCCATAGTATTTTTTTAAGTATGCTAAATTGTCCTTTCCCCCCCACAATACCTCTCTCTCACGCTCGTTCTTGGTCAGGTGCATCTCCTTGAGGATCTGCGACCGCTGCTCCATCACCAGGGTCTTTTCGTAGGTGTAGGCCGAGATGTCGCTTTCATGCTTGAAGTAAATGAAAGAACAGGTTAGAACATACTGTTGTCAGTATCTGTGCATGCATGTGTGTGTGTGAAGGCAGTGTGTGTTGGTTTCTCACCATTTCAACCACCTCCACCTCAGCATCAAATCGCAGATGATAGAGGAACGTCATCAGGTCTTTCTTCATCTGAATGCTGTTGTCGTCCATCTGAGCCACAGTGAAGATACGCATCTTGCACTTCCTCCACACCTACAGTTGAAGCAATATGATTATCCAGTGTAGTAATCATCTCATTCAAAGACATGAACTGATTGTGATCTCAGTTTTGATAGCTAGTGAGTGCCCTCACTAGGCAGCAACTAATATAAGGCATTCGAACTGAAATGAAATGTTAATTGAACACACAATAGGCATAAATTGCATTAATCCTTTAATACAGCACATAAGAGACTCATATACTGTAGAGTTTAGACCAGAGCTGTATGATTCTTGTCCGCAAGTAAAGTACTATTATCTACCATCAATAATAAAACATTTGCTGCAACATTGACCTGATCACTCCATCAACAGTACCTTGTGGTGGCGCAGAAGGAAGGGAAGGAGCATGAGCATGCCTCCATCATGGACAATCCACCACACGTCGATGTGGCCTTCAGTGAAGCGCTCTCCGTTTGATGGATATGCAGAGATGTTCTTTGGCACCAGCAAGGCCAAGTGAGAGGCAGTGGTCTCCCTAACAACCTCTGTGGGGGAATAACAGTAAACTCAATACACCCAATAAACTCATGTACAGGGCTACTTGAGAAAAAAATCTAATTGTGTTTAAAAAAAAAAAAAAAATCCAGGTTTGCTGTGCTTGTTCATAGATCAGCACAATTTGTTCATTATATATAAAAATGGCTATAAAATAATAATAATTGTTAGAATCAGAAAGAGCTTTATTGCCAAGTATGTTTGCACATACAAGGAATTTGTTATAGTGTCACAAGCTTCCAGTACACGGAGACAACAACAACACACAGATAATAAAAATGAGATGTGAATAAAATACACATGCATAAATATAAACCACAAAAAAAGAATAAATTGTATGTACAGGTGTGCTATAGATGGAATAGGAATAGAATAAAATAAAATAAGTTGTAGGGATGTACTAGGG